AACAGGTAAAACCAATGTTGCCCTTGCAAACAATGCTCCTGGGAAAGCAGTATTAGTGCTACCCATATTTGTCCAGTTTTGCTTCTCACCCATCACAGTTGACAGGCAATTACTTAAAACTTTAATCGTTCAGATTACAGTACTGGAACACCTCAGTCATGTCAAATGCTAAGTGAAATTGGATAATGGTGTGTGCTAAATTAAAAGCATCTATGCTCATTTCAGTCCAGTACCAGAGTGGTTTTTGACACAGGTATATCAGAGAAATGGAGAATGAGGACAGCAGAATTTGTTGCACACCAGGTCTGGGCCTATTGTACAAAACTCACAAAAGGAGAATCAAAGAAAGTAAAAGCAAAATGTATTGAACATATTAAGAAAGACAGGACAGACATCAAGATATCCTGCCACAGCTCAGCTTACTACACTGGTAAAACTAATGTCAGATATGTAGATTATTTCTCCGTGTTTGTTGAACACAAGTAAATCTGTTTTTATGCAGATCATAGGCCATGAACAACATTTATTTTGATCAGTTCTCAATGAACTGGTTGCATAACACAGTAAGATGCTGTACGTGTGTCTTCAAGCAAACCTCTGCAGGAAGGGATGCGTACACTCTCATCTGTGTCACCATGTGGACCAACAAGCAAGAGCAGCATATTCCATAGTGAGAGAGAACTGAAGGAAGGGTAGGATAAATATCTAAGGACTTTACATAGTCCACAGCATGCACAGTGCCTAATTAGCAACACTGCTGTAACTGCTTCTTACTGAGAGGGAGACAATTTTATCATGGCGCAAGAGGAAAAACAGGTGACCTGAAAAATATATGAGTCATTCTTGGATTAAAAAGACAAGGAGTCATACACTGCAGTTAGAGAGAACATGTCCTTAACAGGAGAAACCAGTAACTGCAGTTCCTCACCCATGTACCGAAGCCACACTGCACCATAAATGTAAATCCAGCTGTGCAAGGCAGCTAGAGCATGGCCAGAAATATTAAGCTCTTGGGAACCAGACATGCAAAACTCCATTAAATAGAGTCCAAGACAGTTATGCTAGATTTCCATCAGTGACTTGAATAAATTTTATCTCAGAGGACATATCACAAAGTGGTATCTCAGGATGGTCAGCAAAACTACCACCTACATCAAAACCTGCTGCAACAGTTACTATAGTTGCAGACAGCCAGTTCCCATGTAGGAAAAGGAGCTCATCTGGACCTGTGTGGTTTTACAATGCCACTTGAAAGCACGGGGCAAAGTGGAGGGAAGGGGGCAGCCAATGCATTTTAAAAACCTCGACTTTTTCCACAAGTATGTAGCTATGGCAGGCTCAGCCAAGAGAAGTGGCCGAGTGTGCTGACCTTGTTCAGCAGACAATGCAACACTTTCTGTGCAGCAGCTGTGTTAATCATGGCTGAGCAACTCAAAGTTGCTGACTCTCTAGTTCCCACATTTCAACCTTAGCCTGACAAAACAGGGTCAGACAAAACGAGATGGTTTGGCTTGTCATTGTTATCTCGATGCCTACTGTAACACTTTGAAAACAAAACTGTGACATAAACAGAATTAATCCGACTAGATTCTCAGAAAATGTATGTTAACAAATTCACAAATCAATCAGGAGAAAATTTCAGTTTTTTAACTTCTTTTTTTAAATTAATAAAGTTGTCTATGAATGAGATTACTATTTAGAAGCAACTGGTTGATAGTTTGGGCTAATAAATCTGAAAATTAAGCACTGCAGATATAGATTATTCCATGTTATCTAAATTCGTGTGAGTCCTTGATCAATTTGATATTTTATCAGCAGAAAAAAAAAAAATAAATTAAAAGTTTTAAATACTTTGGTTTACTCACAAACCTCCATTTTGAATGCAACAATGGGCATTGGATTCTTTTGCTAGGATTATCTAAATAACACTACGTACAGACATTCAATACATGAGCATGCTAAAGAACATTCATTAAAGTTTTTGAAAACAGACATATTTGAGTTTTAAAAAGGTGTTAAACAAACATTATTTTACTCTATTTAAACTGATTTCTTTTCAAATGCTTTCAAGACATTTGCACAGCAGGTGGGTTGATCTGAAAAGTAGCAAAATTGCATCCCTGTTTTTCATTTGCACACTGTCAGTTGAATTTTCGCTCCCGGGGTAAGCTCCTACCAAATTCCAAGTGGTCCCAGGAACCGTGTATAAAGAGACTTCCACATCTGGGTTCTAAACTTCATGCATAATTATTATATGTGCTGCAACTATATAGACATTTCTATATGACCAGTTTACAAAAGATGAGTGGAAGATTCCTAACCCAACAGTTGGAGATGCTGGGAGGGATGGAAAGGAAATGGGTCACATGAAGCAGAAGGGTAACGCTCTTC